CAAATTAGTTAGCATAAATCAGTTAAATGACGAAAAATTAGGTGTCTATTTACTTGTGACCACTCAGTGTAGATTGCTATTTTGGAATAAGTTCTTAAACTTATTTTTCCTTAAACAAAAAATAATAAACCATCAGATTAGAGTTTCTAATTTGTTAGCCACTGTACACATTGTATGGTAGGTGTAATAAAATATTAACTGAGCCATAAGACAATAGGAGGGCTATGTGACAAACAAAAACTGATATTAAGAATTTTTTCCTTTATAATTCCTTTTAAATTAAAAATTAAAAGGGATATAATATTAGAATATGAATTATAAACTATGTTTTGATGTCAATTCCACTGACACAAGTAATAGTAAAGTTGTTCAATAAAACTTTAAAAATAACTTTCTAAAAGGTCATAACATGCATTATTTAACCTGCTCACAGCAAAGGGGTTAACTCATCGCACCATTTCAAATAGCTAATCATCATCAATAATGCCAAATAGAAATTTTTTAAAGTATTTGTAATGCCTGTTTTCAAGATATTAATTTTATTAGCTAAATTTGTGTCTATACTAACAACTGAAACACTGAGAAAGTACTTTATCATATTTGATTCAGTTAGTTTGTTTCAGAGCAAAGCCACACTGGGCTCTCTGCTGCGTCCACCACAGAGAATCAAACACCAGACTGTACCATTTTAAGTCCATAAACTACCACTGGCAAACTGGGAGATATTGATTCAGAATTAATTTATTATACTGCTTCATTGCATATGGCAATAATTTACAACTTCATTTACTAAGATTTCCAGAAAATATCAGGAGATTACACTTAAAAGGAAGTTCATTTTATAATACTAGTAGGGTTGTGAAAGACTACATCATCACAATTGGACTAACAAATATTAGCAAGATAGAAGTATCAAAATGCTCTTAAGAAGAGACAAAAAGCATAAAAAAGCTGATGAAAAGAAAAAAAAATGAAGATGATATTGACTATTAAAAAAAACAGAATAAAATGCAAAAAGAAAATAAAAAACACAATGAAAGATGCTGACAAATATTATTAAAAAGCTGAATCATCTGGAAATATCAATTTTTGGCACCATAGCCAGTAGTTTAAGGAGAGGCTCTAAGCAAAAGGATGGGGAGATGAAAATGATCAATGAACTGTAAGATGTTTAGCAATTCAGTGTAGTAACTGTATATTTTGGTTTGAAAGTGTTGTTTTTATTGTTGTATCAAATGTATCTCAAAGAGAAGTGTAAAATTGTTTTTCTTGTCACACATTTCTTTTTTTAGTTTTGAGTCTTGAAAAGTTCTTAATTTTTCCCATTAACAAGTGTAAGAACTCTGAGTGAAGTTTTTGAGCAGTTGGCCATTCTCCTGCTAACGTACCTCTAAAGATTATTACAGTTAATGACCTATAGTTTGGACCATCTTTTTTCTGATTTTTGGTCTGTTCCACTTTAGATTGGATGTTGTAGTATTCTTGTTCTTCTTTCCTCATTGTCACTGACAATCCAAACTCTGATGGTGAAATTTCATGCAGTGCATCGAGGTTTTCTAATAATTAAATGTGAAACTGTTCAAAGCTAATCTAATGTTATAACTGTGTTTTCACATGTAATCTATTCCCAATATACACTTTTGTCTAATTCAATAGCCAAACTATCATGTTGATTTTTTATTTCTTGCCAGTTTTGCCTTGTCAGACGCTCTTCAGAGTTAAACCATAAAACACGAGAACTCAAAAGTAAACATGAAATACAGATTTTAACCTTTACAAATAAATCAATGTTACTGCCTTTTATTTTCAACAGTCTCTACATTTTGTGTATTATTATAAGGTTTATACATGTATAACACGTGCACCGATTTTATACACTTTGTGGAAGTGCATCATAATCTGATATTAATATTAACTTCAGATCAGAGCAAGCTTTCTTCTTAGATTAAAACTCGAGATCAACTCAGATAAGTATTCCTAATTAAATATACTTTTCTTAAGTTCTTACTTAAAAAATTAGAAAGCATTGTTTCATCAGTTGGGCAGCCTCAATGTTTTAATAATATTTTTGGCTGTGGTTTGGGTTGTGTTAATAGGTCACAAATCTAGTACTTATCACTGTATCAACATTTCTTTGTATTGTATCAAATTTTAAGCAGTTATGACAAAAATATTTGGTTTTGCTGATATTCTTTATTACTGGTTAGGTTTGTCTGATAGTTGATGAGTAAATCAAAGTTAGATCAGTGGCAATCATTTATATTTTTAACATATTAGCTTTTTATATATAATATAAACTTAAGTCAGTTTTCATTTTGACAGCCCAACAGTAACAACGTGGCAGGAGAAGATGTAGAGCACCAACAAAGAGAGTGGGTACATGTTTTAGGTTAGTAGCATTTAATGTTTGTTTCTGATCATTGGTATAAATGTAATAAGTCTAAGTTTTTAGCATTAGTTATGTTGGAGAAGTTAGTATTTTTGTGTGTTACAGTCACATAGAATTTTATAAGCAGATGTTGATTTGCAACCCTTACTTGTGCACGTAAACAACCTTTTTTCTGAAGAAGAATTTGATTTTTCTTCCATTTTTGACCGAGAAGTAGTTCTGAAGTAGTGGAGAAAAATCTGTGGAGCTGAAAACCAGTTGTAACCACAAGGGCTAAAAATTTTGTAATTCAATTTTGTTTTGACTGAGAAAGTTAAGGCTATGAACTTGATAATTTTTATCTTCATTATGAATGATAAGATTGCAGCTAAAATCCTGATTGAGAATTTTGAGCTTAAAACATTGCAGCTTAACTCTTGTGACTAAGAAGGTCGAGAATAAAATCTTGAAAACTTATCTCCTTTATTACTGGGCACTTTGAACTAAAAAACTATAATCTATCTACTTTTGGGCTTAAAACTTGGCTGTTATGTTTTAGTGGCTGAGAAGTTTGTTGCGAAAACTTGGTAATTTAGCTTCTTTGTGGCTGAGAATGGTTTGGATAAAAAAGTTTTGTAATTTAGACTTTTTATGTTAAAGCTTGATGATAATAACTCATTCCATAGTGTGTCTTGTGACTTTATACTTATTATATTGTTCATTATCTATTATGTTAAAGCTTGATGATAAAAGCTCTTTCCATAGTGTGTCTTGTGGCTTTATACTTATTATATTGTTCATTATCTATTATGATAAAGCTTGATGATAATAGTTCTTTCCATAGTGTGTCTTGTGACTTTATACTTATTATATTGTTCATTATCTATTATGATAAAGCTTGATGATAATAGCTCTTTCCATAGTGTGTCTTGTGACTTTATACTTATTATATTGTCCATTATCTAGTAACAGAAAAAGTTGTTGTTGTTAATAGCCAAAAACTGTTAGAAACTGAGACTAGTATTACTCAGTGATAATTGGTGAATCAAATGATAGATTGAGTTTTATATTTATTTGTAGTATTTAAAACAGCTTAATAAATGAGTAGCATTAAATTCTGTATAAGTATAGGTTCACTGTGGTGAGTAAGTGGCAGTTAGAAACATCTTGAGTGAATTATAAACAAGATTATGACACTTAAGATATACAACATTGTTTATTAACAAAAAGGGGACATAGATAAACATCTTGGAATTCTATCAGATCCCATCTTCAGTATCTAAAGCAAAATAAAATAAATTCACATAAGCCTTTGGGCATTGTCAAAGTACAATTGCTAGATATAACGACAATTAAACAAATAAAACACAAAACAGTAATCATGGGGAGAAACTACAGCAAGAAAACACAACAAAAAAAAAAGGTAAAATCAGTAATACGAACATATTAAGAAATATATAATTTAAATGAAGACTGCATGTTGTTCAGTGTTGGAGAGTGTTGTTTGATGTGGAGGGTTTCTTTAATCAATAATTCCAGGTCAGTATTAGACTTGCGAAACGTTTATCTATATTTTCTTTTTGTTAATAAACAATGTTGTATATCATAAGTGTCGTAATCTTGTTTATAATCTTGAGTGAAGTTTTTTTATGGCTTTGTGTATTTATTATTTTATGTAACTCCATTTAATTATTAAACCAAAAGTGCACTTTTGATCATCAACACGTATCTTGCACTGATAACAACTGATCTCTTAGAATTAATAATTATTGCTTATACATTTCTACCAGAAATTGTTCAAATGCTTTCAAGTGATTAACTTCTGACAGGTAGCTATGCTACTTCCTTCATTCTAAAGTTTATTATTATCCTCACACAATTCCTCCCCACTGGGAAAATACTTGTTACATTTGTCAATTTTGATTGAACAAAATGTGATTACATTGAATTTTTTGTTTTCTAAATCTAGGAAAACAGAGAGAAGAACAACGACAGCGGCGAGCATTGGAACACCAACAAAATTTAATGAGTCCTTCACCAGAGGGAGCTTGGTTCAATGTATTCAAAGATACAACAGATGCTCGTCCATCTTCTCTTTCTGGTGGACCAGCTCATTTGGCCACTAGTGATTTAACCACAGTTGTACAGCTTCCTGTAGGTTTTCCCCAGAAGGAAATACAAGACTGTCCACTGCTTTCTACCAGTGTTCCTGAAAGGGAGCATTCTGAACAAAGGTACTATAAAAGAAAACAAAAAACATGAAAAAAGTATCTTGGGTATAGTTTTGCCAAAGAAGGGTGTTTAAAAAGAAGCAAAAGAAGTACTATGTTTTAACTTTATTTTATTACATTACTAACTAAAGTACCTGGCTTTTCTTGGGTTATTAGGTTGATATATTGGTTGTTTTTCCCATCTGCTGCCAAACTGAAAACGTTCTTACTAACACCAACTCTGGAGCACCCAACATAAAGCTGACCATAAGACCAACAACCTTGAGTGATTGTTCCTGTGCAATTTTAAACTTAAAGCATTTCTGAATTAAGGTATTTTCTGTTATATATCACCAACGTTTTTAATAAAAACCAAAACCTCTTTAATCAATGGAGTCTAAGTCAAGAAATCAACAAATCTTTTTACAGATTTGTTGTTTATAAGTTTCATTTTATACTTTCAGTTCATAGACTAACAACAATATATAACAAGGTTATACATGACACTAAAACCATTGTTTGAACCCATTGTTACTAAAATGCACTGGCTTTTCTATATATTAGCTGTTGTTATATAAGAAACCATTCCTTTTTCTATTTTGTTTTTTTGCTAGCTTGCCTCATTAAAAAGATGTGCATGCGCATACATACATACACACGTGCCCATAGATATGTAATACCCAGGTGCACACCCTCAGGGTCCACTTAGTATGGGTGCTGGATTTCAGGTTTCAACATTCTTTCCTCTTGGAGCTATGACAGTCACGCTTCTTTTCTATGTGGTTTTTCACTAGCTTGCCTCATAAAAAGATGCGCATTCATGCACATATGTAGATCAATAATTTCAGTTTTCTGGGTTCTTTCCTCATGGAACTATGGTTGTCACACACACACAGACCCACAGACAAATAATAAACCTTTTTATTATTGTAGATGTAGAATTCATAAACACATGCCCTCATAGTCCATTTTGTAGCTCTGTATTTAACAACAAACAAAAAATCATAAAAACTTTGAACATATTATAACTCTTTCTATGTTACATCAGATGCAACATGACAGTAAATAACATTTTAAGTTTAGTAATTTTTCATCCTCTAACATTACAAAACAGTAGTGAATTTTAAAATCTCATATTCTTGAATTTCCCAGGAAAATTAGCTTAATTTTTTTGTTAGTTCAGGAAACCAAGTTGGAATAAGAACCAATCACTATCAATTCTTTGGTTTCCAGTCTTTGTAATCTCTTTTATCTGCCTGGGTGTGAACCCCTTAACTTCTAGTTCCCAATTTTTATGCCTTCATTTCTTTCTTGCCACCCTTCTGTGTTATCTCTCATCACTTCACCTTACGTCTGAGGTACTTCATTGTACTTTGGGGGACGGTTTTCTAGATAGGTTTGTTCTCTTCTTTTCACCACATTGACTCAGATACTGCTTCTGCTCCATCCCTCCTTACTTGGTTCCTCTGCTGTTGGGGCTTGTTTGGCCAGGATGCTCTCCTAGCAAATGTTTGCCTCCCTCTTCTCTGTGTTCTTTGTCAGGCTCCATTTCTTTGTCCAGAAGTCTTCATGGGTGTTCCTGACTTGCTGGAGACCCAGATTGAGGTGGCTCGGTATTAGTCATTATTGTCTATTATGGTTTCTTGTCTTCTTGTTTCTAGGCCTGCTGAATCCACTTCTTCTCTTCCCATCCTAGCTTCCCGGCCTTCTTATATGTCCCATCTTTCCAGTTCTTGATGTCATGGTCATTGTTTGTCTCGTCAGTGATCACCTTGTCAGGTCTGACCCATCTGTCTCTCTTCACCAACCTTTGTTCTCCACCTTCATCTGATATATGTATTATTCAGGTTCTCACCCACTGTCTATCTCTCTGCTTCATTTCACCTCCTCTTATTTTAGGTGTGTCTCTATGGGGCTCTCTGCTGTTGGGTATCATATTCCATCAGCCATCAGCTCTCCCTTCAGATGCTTTCTGAAGGAAGCTCATTTAGGTTTAATGTTTGTACCAGCCCCTCTACTATTTCGTTGTGGGATTCTAGCTATTCTGTATGCAGTGGTGATGTATCACCTTTGAAGTTCACATATTTTCATAGATTGTTCTGCACACCTTCCCGCCTGTCCTTCTCACTTCTGGTGTACTTCTTTCTTGCCTCATCCGAGAATGAAGGTATTTCGAGGGCAAGAGCTTATGGAGAGTTACTGCACAAGAAGACTGTGTTGCCCTCCTATTGGTGGAGAGCTATTTCCCATCATACCTAAGTCGTCGTCTTAATACACTCACATGCTTGTGCAGTGACTTATTACAGAAGCACACTACCAGTTTTTTTGGGCATGTGCTGGTATTGTCAGAAGTAAAGAGTCATTTGTAAATGGCCCGGCATGGCCAGGTGGATAAGGCACTCGACTCGCAATCTGAGGGTCGCGGGTTCGAATCCCCGTCCCACCAAACATGCTCGCCCTTTCAGCCGTGGGGGCGTTATAATGTGACGGTCAATCCC